ATTCCCGGCCTTTTTGGCAGTTTCCTTGATGACTCTAACAGCAACAGTCTGTTGAAGGGGCAAAACGGCGAAAGATTTAACGCAGCGGCAAGAGCAAAAAACATTATATATGTTAACTCATGTCTTTCTAAACTGTAGGATTTTATGTTTGATAGGGAAAATCTGAGTGTTGACAAGGGCCACACAAATGTCTTGGGGGTCCGGTTTGTGGCCCGCGGGTCGCCTGTTGCACACCCCTATTCAAAACGTTTGTTGGGAATAATCAATTATAACAGCTCTTTGAATATTGGTCAATATCAACGGTTGCTTGTACAGGGTATTGTACGGAGAGAAAGTATCGAGTTATCGTCGTATGAAAAATTATCCGTCTTTGCAAGATATTTTTTCAGGAAAAGGATTTGGATTGTAGTTTAAATATCGACCGATTTCCAGGACTTCAAAATTGACAGTCAAATACAGAAGTGCGGTAAATTTGAGAAAAAAACAGAAAATCGAAAAGCCGTTCCTTCGAACAATGTATATCTTCTATTGGGCCAAGAACGTTAAAATATGGTTTAGATTTCAGAACAATGTATTTCGACCACTTTGTTAACCTAATGACGGTGTATGGGCCAAATAATAGTATTTGTGTAATTGTAGAGCAGACAGCTGTGAACATCTCGCGAATAAAAAAAAACGCAGTCGTATGCATCGCGTGGGAATGCGAATTGTAAGTGTTCATAGAACCATTAGAAAAGTGTAACGACCAATAGTTATTACGGAATATGATAATGATTAGCGTGATTTCAGCAATAACTTTCCTCGACTTTTGTTTGATTAAATCCTCTGGGTATCATTATTCGCTGATGATTGACATGAATTGAAAATAATGGAAATCACCACATAGGAATGCTTTATGATTACTAAGAACGTATGACTCCCAGTGAAATGATTGAGGTTTCGATGCAAGAATTCTCAGAGAGAAATGGTAATAGCCACCATAGGGGAGTTAGCGAAGAGAATGCAACTTCGAGGTCTTTAGAAGTCTGAATCCGATTTAAAAAACTTAACTTGGGGTCCTTACGGTTCAATTTTGATTGTGATTCATTTAGAAGACAAAACTTGTAATAAATTTAAAATTTTAACTCGAGCTCTAGAGTCTAGACTCTGGCGAATATAAAAATTTGGCCCTGGCTCAATGCTAGCCACAAATGTTTAACTCACGACTTCACTATCACAGGAAATAGACATTCATATTGGCTGAATTTTTGTATAGACTCGTATGTATTTTGTTTTGTGGTCATCGGCTAAACTCTATGTCAACACCTAAGATTATTTTAAGGTAACATACCAATAAATAAATTGTTTACCATTACATCAAGCCAAGTTTCGTTGGAATAGATTCATTTTGTATCGACGTAACGGACACTAACTATTTGACCTCTTCTCAGTTTAAATGGTGAAATGACAAACCCTTTATGGGGTATCTTGTTTGTTTGTGTTGGAACATAGCTCGAATATAGGGTATTCAGTGGACGTTATCTTGTTACCGGGCAGGATAATACTGAAGCTGAATGTTTGAAACATTCCGTATTGTCATTGAAGATGTCTTTGTTTTGTCATGACATAGGTCAGTTTTTAGTTTCATGTACGGAATGACTAGGTTATAACTATATATACTTTCTTTGTATTTCATTTAGCATGAATAAACGACTATAAAAATACTATATCAATTTACAGGGAGAAACAATACTGGAACATGTTTGTGTTCATTTTTCATAATAAAGGGAAATGCACTGTGTATGTCTAGGCTTATGATTAGGCTTTAATACATTTGACTGGTAGTAGGTGGTTGAAGTTAGGTTTTTCGTTCTATTCGATTTGCAGTGAGAAAATATGCATTAAGGCCCTGCAGCTATGATATTTTTAACAGTAAAATAGTTTATAAACATAAAATAGTCCTTGCTCGCGAACATGATTGAATTGTGATTCGAATCATTTAATGGGTATTACTAGCGCGAGGACTGCAGTATTATATGATTTGTAGTTTTTTCGGTGCTCCCGAAGTATGCGAACCAAGATGGCGGACATCGGAACGTAACATGGGTAACAGGTTAGGGTTGAGCGATAATTTTTTCCAATTTTCCTTATTTTGGTCCTATTATCAGTTCGAAGACTAGCCAAGAGCCTCCCGTAGTATTTATAGCTAAAATTATGGCCTAACCCTAACCTAGTACACATATTACATTCCTATGTCCGCCATCTTGGTTCGCATACTTCGGGAGCCCCGTTTTTTCTAATACATATGGATATATTTCATTCATTCCACTCGCGAATTTTAATTACCTGAAGCTATAGGGTTCAAGATAGGGTTCAAGGTACAATTTGTGGTGGGATTCGAAATTTTAAGACCTAGTTTTTGTAACCACGAGTTACGAGCGCATAATCGCGGCGACTGTTTCAGAAGGAAATGAGAATTTTCGATCTTAAACCCCCCACCCCCTTTTGAAAATCCTGGCTGCGCCACTGTTTCGAACATACTAACAGAAGGTCGCCTCATTTCAGAAAAGTGTGCCTCACTTTTACGGCATTCCGCGGGGCACAAAAATACTTTTGCATTGTTCGCGGGCCACAACAGTGCCAAGAACTTCGCTCGTTTAACTTCGCTAGTTGCCTCAGCAAGCCATAACACTAGTCAATTCAGTGACATTAGTGATGCAACAATATGTCAAGATTTTTTTGTTAATTTTATGACGAAACAACAAGAAATGCGATTTTTCGATTCCTCTCCGAATGCGACGCGGGCCAAAGATAATGGAGTGGCGGGCCACATATGGCCCGCGGGCCTGGGTTTGGACCTCCCTGTCCTAGATCGTTCATTTTGTACTATGTCAAAATCAAGTCTTATTCAACGCCTTGCAAGATGTTCTTGGAAATATTATATTCTAGCTGGAATGTAGAGACAATGAACACAATAACTCTTCATTCCAAGAATTTCCATGGCAGACATAGCAAATTAAATAGTTGTTTGCATCCTGTGTGGTATTGGTAGATATATTTAAGGAGTGCACTCACACAGATTTGTTGCTACTTTCGTTGCTGACGCATTGACCTTTAATGGTTAAAAAACATTTGGTACGGCTAAGCAATAGAAATTATAGTATCTCCTAACATAGCAATGTTTTCTTGAGCATCAATTTCCTTATTTATTTCCGTGACAATTACAAATCAGCAATAAGTTGACAATGACGCAACAGTCGGAATTTATACCGCCGCTAAAACACTTCTTTCGCTCAGACAGATATTCAAGCGTGGTTGTTAACATTGCATTTTTTGTTAGTTTGGTCGTCAAGGGTCGCGAAAACGTCCATCCTGCATGTGTAGAGACTTGTTCCGAGAGAATGACGTATCAATACGTCATTTAATTTCATTACGATAGCAAGACAAAATGTATTTTAGAATAGTTAAATATGTTAAACGAAAATAAACGCCAGATTGTACCATATTCTTGTGTAATGCGAAATAGTTGTTGTCTAGTGCGGTTTTATGTCTGGATTCTAGAAACGATAAATAGCCCTTGGCATGTTTTATAGTTTCAGAATTTTGGATCATATATTTGCGGTGAACTTGTCGCTCTTAAGTATTGTTCAGATGTGATTTTGTTGTTTTGTAGGGATTTTGGTGATTCATTCATCTTTCTATTTGATTCAAAAGTCTCGCTGCACACTATCAAAACTCTTTAATCAAATAGAATGATCATTATTACAGCCTTTTTTCGGCGCTCCCGGAAGTATTCGTACCAAGATGGCGCACAACATGAACATAATATGTGTACCAGGTTAGGGTTGTTCAGGTTGTGCGTCATCTTGGTACGATACTTGATACTTTCAGAGCGCCCTTTTTTTTATCATACGCATGCGGATCGACTTGCGCAAAGGTATACAGTCAGGAAAAGTATTTGGTTCCGTGCAACCGCAGCAACTTATCTTCAACAATCTATGTTGTAAAATGTTGAATATTGATAAGCACCGGTAAGCGGAGTTTTTTATGTTTATTTAATATACTTTTTTTACGTAGTTACGGTTTTCTAGCCATTGGCGGGTTTATATAGCCTCGGAATTTTTGATGATTTTTGTGACTTTACGCTCAAGAAATTCATTTATATGGAGACAGTTGCCGATTGATATTAGATTGGTTTAGAAGGAGAGACAGTTGAAACGGGATGATATTTTATAAAAAAATTATTTCGGTGACATAATTATTTATCCCTGGTATGATAGATAGCTTTTTGAGAAGGATCGGTGAGTGTGTATTTCCATTTTTTATAATTTATTTACTGAACTACCAAATGAGATTACTCGGGACTAACTACTTTTCTTTGTTCTATGGCAGGCGTCGGCAAACTACGGCCAGATACGGCCCGTGGAACAATATAATCCGGCCCGCGACGCTTCACTGAATTATAATAACAAAAAAACTGTGTTGGCGATTATATTCTCTACATAGCAGAATTTGTTTTGAGACACTAAATTATATTATAACCCAACAAGTATATAATTCACAATCACTCTTTTTATGAGCCTATAAATTGATTATAATTAGACAAATGGCAACATAACGTGACAAAATTGATGCTGAGAGCAAATGGTTTAATTGCGCAGATAATATTCAAAGGATCAGTCTTCGCGCGCTGCTTAAAATTTAACTGAAATCTGTGTGAAAAAATGTTATTCACTGGTCATTCCCTCTGTTTTTAACTTTCTAAAAATATGTGCGGCCCGCCAATGACTTGCAACCTTTAATTTTGGCCCGCGAACGACCCCTGCTGCAAAAGTTCGCCGACCCCTGCTCTATGGCATACAGTTATGCCCGTGGATCCATTTGCGTTGATGTAAGAATGCTGTAGCAAGGGTAAAGATGACTATTCTATTTGATTGTTGCACACTAAAACAAGTTTCTGTGACGACTCCTAAACCAACTATTATATACTCTCATGTATTTCAATATTGTTCCAGGTTTATACGTATAGTCACTGTTTTCTAAGATTGTATAATACGCCATCATTGTGTAAACGGCATGTGACGTCAGTCAAAGATGATGAAATAATGCGATTTCATTACATTACCGTCACCTGGAAAGAAATTTCTAAATTTTGTCGAAGTCTTTCAAGCAAAATATTCCATTTAAACTGTGGAAATACAAGACTTTGGATAATACTGCTTCAATTTATGTTTATTCATTATATAATCACCTTGACGTTAGGCTTGGCGAGTGGAATGGCAATTCTTGACAAAGTGTATTTAAACGACATTGGACTAGTCAAGCAAACATACAGGCCGGTAGCCAATGATTCTATGCAAAAAGTTTCACCGTGGACACAAAACGGAAATAATTTATATATAAATCGAAACAAGTGGAAAAATAACTTAATGAAAAGATTAAAAACAGCAAGGTCAAGACTGCGAAGAAATATTGCCAACAACCCAAGTCCTACTGTAAATGTAATTAATACTTGGCCACATACTTGCCGTGTTATTACCCCACGCATTCCCAAACTGCCGGTTATCTATGAATGCGTGCCACAGATACTAAATCCGGTGGTTGTTGATCTTTCTCATTCTACGCCGACAGTATTAGTAGTGGAACCAACTTCACAAGTGGTATCCGGAGGTTCTATGACTCCGAACACTACAACTCTCAGCCCAACTAACATGTATGCTCTTCGTGACGTCATAACGCAATTTGACGTACCCGATGATGTCACTGAGTTGAGAATGTGGTTTCAAGGGATTGTATCCATAGAAGGATCATCTTTTCATCGACTGAATAAATTGAAAGTACTCAATCTCCAACATAATCAAATTTCCTACCTCTCTATCGATGCATTTCGAGGTAAGATCTTTATTACTAACAGTTGGGGTTACGTGAAACTAACAACTTTTCCTTGCTATATGCCTTTGCGCAGGTGGATCCGTATGCGTATAACGCAAGGATGCTGTGGCAACAGTAAAAATGACAACTTTATTTAATTCAAAATTCTTGCTGCACACTAAAACAAATGTATTTCTGACCTCGGTCAGACTTCTTCAGACAAGCATTTTACAACTGTGACAAGAAACGCAATGTCATGCACAAGACTTTTGAATTAAATAAAAAAGTCCTTCATATGTGTGTAATTTTCATATAAGTAAGCCAATCCTTGTTTTGTCCAGGGACATGGTACATTAGCTAACTAATTGCCTTGTCTATTCATATTGATGTGGTAGGGGAGTCATAGGCTCTCGGGCATTCTGCTGATAATACGCTGCGGTCTGAATATCTTCCATGAAAATTTCAAGATGATGAAAATTTTGAATGTTTATATTTCGCGGTCTAGCAAGCTCATTTAATGTAGTGTAACTTGTAACTGCGGTCACAGAATTGAATTTTGTGTCAGAGTTGAAGCGCAAGCACTTTTTTACAAACTAAAACACGGTTTTCTGGTTTTCCATGTTGGTATTGCAAGTGAGACATATCACACAAGTAAATTTCAAGTTGATTATGGTGAAAATTTGATTTTTCGATGATTTGAAAACGATTATTCTAATATATTCAGATTTATTCTGTTTGATCAGTACGTAGAGGTTAATTCGTGGTTGAAATTCAAGACACGGTAGGAATTTTTCCAAAAAAAAAATCTGGCTTTTTAAAATATTTATAGGCCATCGAGGGGCAGGCAATATTTCCGAAAGCTTTGGCTGGTGTTGTATACATAGATAGGCATATGGTCTCGTATTACTCCATATTTACCAATGTATCACAAGAATATTATGCATGAGTTATGTTTAATTCAACGGTTTTCTGAAAAAGCTTGTCCAGGCTCAAAAGTACCCTGGTACTTACCATAGTGAATTACATACCGTAGTCTATTATAATGAGCTAGAATTCCTATGAAAATTTATGATATTGTGAAAATGGATTATTCTTCAGTTACCAAATCAACAAAAAAACAGCTCGAAAAGGCGTACAAGACTTTGTCACGATTTCAGTCACTCATTGTTTACGTTCCGCTAATAAGCAAATTTTCTAATCCCACGAGATTAAAGAAAAGTCTTCCGGATTTTGTCAACCCTGAAATCGATTTATCGTTTGTCTAATCTGCTTGCTGAGATTGTCGATGGGAAATTAAATTATTTAAATATCACAACAAATTTGATCTATTTAATTTGATTTGACATGGGTGAGCAGGATCGCATTGAAAATCAATATTTAGGAAGCATTAGGAAATTCGCAATTTAAATTGACAATACTATGTGATCAAGCTTTTGTGCCGGTGGAACCGTATGCATATAATGCAAGGATGCTGTAGCAAGAGTAAAGATAACAATCCTAAGTGATTTAAGAGTCTGTTGAGCACTAACACAATTATATTTCTGTAACGTTTCGTCTGACCTCTTTAATCACTCTAAACTGAAAAACTGTGTAATCAAGCCAATCGCCTATCGGTATTTACGAACTCTCAACTCCACACTATTTTTCGTTAAAGTGTCAGTAGCTTTTAAAATTTCCGTGGTTGCCCGTAGCTTTGCTCAAATATCATACTATCCAATTTCTGAATGAGTTTAAATACTGGACCAATTGCTCGGAAATTCTCAGTGAAAAAATGTATTTTTCGCTAGGACGCCATTAATTGTATCAAAGCCGGTCATCATCGCCACATATAACTATTCGGTCTAAAAGTCGGAAACTTGAAAAAGATTTTTGCTTAGTCCAAATTTCAGCTCCCTTTCATTAGACTATTTTCCTCATTATTATTTTTATCATAAAGTTGTCGATTTTGCATCTCAAACGTTCATACAAATAACTAATAAGTGATGTGTCTTACTGAATTACCGATATTGTTTACGGCATTATTAATAATACGCAGTCTTAGATTGAAATTAAATTAAACCCCAATCTGGATAACATTTTATATAGTTGATGTAATCATTTAAAATTACTGAAGTTTCCCGTTTCTGATTATTCGACAAATTATCCTTGGCAAACAATTGAGGGTAATAAATCTTAGAAGACGTCGAGATTTCAGACGAATTCATCCTGTAGTGCGTTGCATAAATAATGTATTACAGTGGTCCAATGACATGATCAAAAACAAGTTTCTTCTACTGAAAATGGGAACACTAATTTACTGGAGAACTACAATGTAAACTGTAGTTTACTTTGCAATTCATTATCCGAATTCTTCCTAAAACCCTAAACATTGCCACGGGATTTCACTGCTTAGATATGTCTTGTTATTACCAATATTTTTGTCAATGTGTCTTGCTATATCTGTATTACAGATTTCTCGTGCATCATGATAGCAATTATTACGTTTTTAGCATTGCGCCCAATTTGCGCTTGAAACTATCTGGTAATCGCTAATTATTAACCTTTGCTGAAAATTTATCGTTGAATCCCAAGAGTAAGAATCATTATATTTATGGACTCTCGTTATCGCGGGAATGTGAGTTACAACTTACTTTACCAGCCTCTATCCGAAACCTTAGATCAGGGTGGTCCAAGGTTGTCGGCTCGCGGGACACAGAATTATTTTTGCATTGTTCGCGGGCCACAATAGTGCCAAGAATAGATAAACAGTGCAATACAAAACAAACACTTTCATTATGCAAACACATAGGTATCAGACAAAGCCATCCCAGGCTAATAGAATCCGCATTCGATTTTTAGTTTTCTATTATCAGTATGATGCATATATTGTTAGCATAATATTCCCGACCAAAAAGATAGAAAGCCAGATAACAATTCAGACTGCCAAGCACATCATTCAACTTCGCTAGTTGCCTCAGCTATAGCCATAACACTAGTCAATTCAGTGACTTTATTTGATGTAACTATATGTCAAAAGATTTTTCTGAATAATTTTATTACGAAACATCACGAAATGCGATTTTTTGATTACTCTCCGAATGTGACGTGGGCCACAGATAATGAAGAGGCGAGCTACATGTGGCCCGCGGGCCTGGGTTTGGACCAACCCGCCTCGGATTGTTGTAACATTGTTGGCCGCGAAGTGTACTTTTGGATCATTTTGTAAAATTGACCGTAAGAGCTAGCATTTCCGGTCGGGGGCCGGAAAACGTAGGTTTTCAGGGGTCTCGAGGGCCCTAAAAAACGTTTCAAGCTGCGAAAAATTGCTATGTATTACAATTATTACGTTATCTGACCTAATTTGCTTCAAACTATCTGGTCATTGCACTGTTAATTATTATCCTTTGCGGCGGATTTATCGTGGATTGCCAAGAGTAATCAATGATCATTGTATTTCTGGACTCTCGTTATCGCAGAAATGCGAGTTACATGTTACCATACCAAACACCAACTGAACCTTTATATCAGGGTGGTCCAAGGTTGTGGGCTCCGCGGGCCACAAAATTATTTTGGAATTGGTCGCGGGCCACAATAGTACCGAGAATAGGTAAACAGTGCAATACAAAACAAGCACTTCTATTGTGTAAACCAGGGGTCGGGAATCTTTTTGGTCAAGAGAGCCCTAAAATATACATATTTTCAATTACATTATCGTGCGAGCCATATAGCATTTCTTCACTTAATCAGGCCTGAAATTTTTACTCAAAAATCAACACATACAATGTCAATATACATTTAACGTGACTTCTGATGCTGCATGTTGTCGCTGCGGGCCTTGAACGGTTGCCCACATGCAGCCCAAGTTGAAATCTACGATACTCATCACCCTTTTTCGTTTAGGCATCTCCGTAGTATTTTAAAACTCTATCGCTTTGTGATGTCACAATATATGTTCCAGAATCCCCATGTTTTATCACAATGCCTGTCTAGTAAGTCTCTTAAATAACATAGACATGCGCTGGGCCCGCGTTGTCAAACGTATTGGAAATTTTTTGCCAAATTTGGCCATAAAATAGTTTGAAGTCTAGTAACAATAGTAAGCTTAATCTTAGAATAATAGATTTTTCTGGGAGCCATATGCCGTCACCAAAAGAGCCATATATGGCTCGCGAGCCATGGGTTCCCGACCCCTGGTGTAAACACATAGTTATCAGGCATTGCCAACCTAGGCTAATGGAATCCGCACACAAATAATAAATTAGCAAAGAAAATCACTAGAAAGTAAAATCAGTACTTTTGGGATTTTATAAAAAAAAGCGATCTAAGAGAATTTTCAAGCAACCCTGTTTTGAGTCGCGACCCATAGGTTGATAAACACCGGAACGCAATAATTCATAACAAAATTTCGCTTGATTATAATTCACCGACACATCTTCATTGGACTTTTTATATACACAAAAGTGGATAAATCGATTTTACATGTTCAGTACATAAAGATTGGTGGAGTGCTAGATAGCTATTAAATTTACATTTTGTCAGTTTTGAGTTCTAGGTATTTCACTCCAGAATTCGCTGATATTTATAATCCACGGAAACATCTTGATATGAAATTGAAATTGGGTGTTTAAGATTAAAAAGAATATGAAATGGTGATGCTATATACATTTGTGACATATGGGTCACGTGACAGATAGGTAAAAACCAAAAATAGCCTCTGAAATTTGATGAATTAGGTAAACTCGTCGAATATCTTTGAAATTCGCAGAGTGTCTTGATTTAAGAAACGGGAGATTCAATTGACATTGGATCTCTGAAAATAAGACGTTGTTCACAATATATTGATTCCTTTTTCTGAAATACGACTTGTACAACTCAGGAAATGGGGTAAAAACGAAATACTGTGAAAAAATACCAAAATTAACGGGATTTCACCATAATACTGGGAATTTCTCAAAATTCACGATACAATGTCCGATGTGATTTTTATAAACATCTAAGGCTTGACAAGTACATCCTTTTTACATAGAAATTACAGTAATATT